TCAAACAGCCGAAAACCGGACACCCACCTGCAGAGCTGCCCCAGCCCTGGGCAGCAGCAGCAGGAGGACGTGGGGCTGCTGCAGCCAGGCCAGAGGAGCCACGGAGATGCTGCCAGGGCTGGAGCCCCTCTGCTCTGAGCCAGCCTGGCACTGCTGGGGGGGCTCAGCACACAGATGAATGAATTTAAGGGAATTTAAGCTGTTCCTAAATGCCTGTGTTTGGATAGAAATACCATCCTTACAGTGGGAATTCTCATGTTAAGGGAGGGCACTGGAAACACCAAACAACCCTTTCCTGTACACAGATCCCTTCTGTTCTCCTGGATACAGGTGAGTGGATCTCATCTGCCAAAACTGGAGACAGCATCACCCCCAAACACTTAACAACACAGTGACCAGGTGACTTTACCCAGAAGCAGATTTGGGATTGTAAACCCTTCACCTGAGAGTGATCCAGGTCCTGACAACTCACATGGGAAGTTTAAAGTCTTGAGCATAAACTAAAAAAACCCTTCTGAGGGTAGAAAATAAATACTTCATTAAAAATGCTGCAAGAGTGACTTACACAAGATGCAACTGATCCACAAATATATTGTACTTGGCCTTGAATATTTTATGCTCCCAGAAGAGCACACTGGAACAGTGTCACAGAATCCTTCATGTGTGTATCTTGTTGCCAGTGATGGCTCTCAAGGCAGAGGGACACTGACACACAGGTTCTCAGTCTTTACCTCCATAACCAAAAGCCTCACTTATTTCCCACTGCATTTTTCCCCACACTATTCAAACATGAGCTTAATCTTCTGGCAGCCTCTTCAGAGTTGAGCAGGAGAGGTGGAAAAAACAGCACAGAGAAGTTCAGTAGTGCCCAGCCTGGCACAGCTGAACAAGGCTCCAGAGTCAGCCCCAACATCCCACAGGTGAATCCCTGCCCACCAGTGAGTCCAGCTTCTGGAAAAGCACATTACAGAACTCAGCAGCAGATCTGCAACTGAAAAAGGGGATTAGAGAGAGCAGAAAGAAGTCCTTCTGAAACAGCTGTACTTCAAATCCCAAAACACTCCAAGGAATGACAGGCACTATAAATAGAAAGCTTTACAGGATCAGCAGGTATTAACTTTTTGTTAATCCTGTGGAGTGGCACTGCCATGAATGAGCAATATGAGGAAATCTGATCTGTGCAGTCTCCATCCTAAATCTGAAAGGCAAGCACCACACCCAGCCTGATCTGCTGCCACATCTCACACCCACAGAGCTGGGAGGGAACCTGGGGGTGGGAGCAGATCCTCAGTGAGGCTCTGGCGTGGAGCCCTGACCTGGGCACAGTGCTGGGCACTGACCCATACCCACAGCCCCCACTGCTGCTCAGTGGGGTCACAACACACAGCAAAAAGAACAACCCCCTGATGCAATGAAAAAAATTCTAGTCACTCAACAAGGCCTAAATACTTGGAAGAAAAAAACCTTTAACATTTACATACTGACACAGCAAAAAAAATCTGGGTATCCTGCCCAGCACTGATTATGTCTTTGCATAAATGCTTCTAATATAGGAATTTCCTAGTGTGGTAATTAAAACCAAATCTTTCCCAGGATATAAGTAGCTCTGTTTTTCCTTAAATGCTTTTTGAGGTCCCATGAATCACAGAATCACTGAGGTTGGAAAAGCCCTGAAGGATCAACAAGTTCAGCAGTTGTTAGTGCAGCACTGCCATGTTCATCACTCAAACATGCCCCAAATGCCACAGCCACCCGGTTTTTGAACACTTCCAGGGATGGTGACTCCACCACTGCCCTGGGCAGCCCCTTCCAATGTCTGAC